TTTCTTTGATACCCCCTTTCAGCCCCTTAGGGTTGGTTGCCAGGATTTGCCGTAGGCGTTTCGTTTTCTAGGAGTGAACCTTAAGATACCCTGAAAATTTGAAGTCTCTTGCACATCTTCTTCTAGTGGAACAGACACACAGACACGAGGTCGTTTGCATAAGCCCGCTGGATAGCTTTTTCAAAGCAGAAGGGCGGGCTAAAAATGAGACCTAATCGACTTTTTTGGTGTCTGGGGCCTTACCGATGAGTACTGAGACAATATCGAGTGTCGTGGTTCTAAATATAGTGTCTTTGTACTCATTTCAATGTTTTAACCTTCGGAGCAAAGAGCGCACCTTTGTGCAAGTTGCCATTTTGGAGCGCAATGTTCCCTATGAAGTATTCGTCAAACGGTCTTTCGAGTTTACGAGCTGCTAGTAAGTGTCCACAACACGTGTTTGGGGAAGGAGATAACACCGAAACACTGATTGCTCCACATGGAATCCAGTCCATTCAGAAACTCGATGAGCTTATTGCGTCCGTGTATCCACCTGACATTTCGCGTGACCCAGACGCCTCTTCCCCCCGGGCGATTCTTTGCGCCCACAATGCTAATGTGCGCGAAGTAAACAATGCAGTCATGGCCCAACTTCCAGGGGACGTGCAGCAGCTAGTCAGCGTGGATTCCATTGAGCAAACAATGGAGGGGGTTGACATTGAGATATTCACCCTTCTTCTAGACGAAGGTGAAAGCGTGCCAAACCACATCCTCAATTTAAAGGTTGGCGCAGTGTGCATGATCATGCGAAACCTTAACATGTCTCAGCGACTGGTGAATGGCACCAAAGTGATAGTGGAGCGAATAAGTCCTCGGCTTGTCACAGTCCGTAAGTTCAGCTGCTCAGCAAACTAGCTTTCCGTGTTCGGTCCCTGAGTTTACTGGCCCATCAGCCACCCTAGCACTTCCAAGTAGTTCTTGCTCCCCACCTGCTAGCAATGGATTTCTCAATCTGCTATCATCCAGTTAGTACTAAATTTGTTTGACATAATTTTTGTGAACCCTTAAAATTTCCTATTTCTTTACCTTTCCGTTTCTATATCTCTCCTGCAGGTGTGAATGTACTTGATAATAATAATAATAATGACTTAGGCTGGGAGTGTTCAGACCTTTCTACTTGGGACGAAAAGGAAGCATTGTCCAGCACCCAACTTCCGAGAATATCTTGTATGTGTTCATTTTGAAATTTGTTTGTTTACACACTGGGTTTACTGCCCGCACTGGTGTATAGAAACCCATTTGATGTATATCCTGTTTAATTACTTATCACTTTTTGAATAGCTCTTGCGAACTGTCAAGTGCAACATGGACAACTTAAAAGTAACGATTTTGAGGAAGTTGAAAATGACATAACACTTTTAAATATGTCAGATGAGGAAGAAGCTGATTGCAGTGAACACCTTACAGATGGTAAATATATTTTGTGATAAGTTACACTATGCTCCAACTATTACTGTTCTTAGTAACTTTAATGCAACTTATTTCTTTGTTCAGTCAGTGATAATTTGGTGTCACCTGCTAAAAAGAAGGCTCAAAAAGATGGCGAGATTATTTGGTTGATTTTGTGATGTGATAATGAACTTTTATGTGCTGCTGTATTTTTACTGTCATCTTCTACTTTATTTTCAGATGGATCTCTCCAAAGGACTCAAAACACACCTCGAAAGACCCCACGAAAGCAGAAACCATGTGGTGGTAGTGGTGGTAAAACTCCATCCTCACCAAGGAACATAGCTGGGAATAGGAGGACTCCAAGGAGGAATTTGTGCTCACAGAATGAGCTTGTTTGGCCTCCCGCAAGAATTAAATTACTCCTTGCAGAATGCCGTATTAGGAAAGACAAAGTTCAGCAGGAACATATTCCTGTTGCAACATGGAAGGAGATTTCCAAGGCTCTGAAGGACTCTGGGGAAACAGTGTCTTGGGAAGTTTGCAGAGGGAAGTTTTGCAGTCTCTCAGATTATTTTTCAGAGAGGCTTCTCAACACTCGTGGAGTTGTAGGTGGAGTAAAAGTTCCGTACTATAAACTGTTATGTCAAATTTATGATGTGACAGTTAATTTTGAAATGCCTCAAGAGGTCACTGCTCAAACATCATCTTCCAGTAAGTGTGTGGGTTTACTTTATCCTTTTTATCTCCCTCATGCATTTGATTTTTAATAGTTTTTGTACTATTGACACAGATAAACTTTGGGATGCTGCCAGCATCAGCCTTTTACTGAGCCTTTACAGAGCACGCCAGGACGCCTTTAATGGCACAAAATCATGTGTACGGCACACCACCTTGTTCAAGGAAATATCTGCAGCTATGTTGCCTTTCAAAATGTGTGTGACAGGCAAGCAATGTGCGGATAAATTTAATGAGCTGAAGAAGAAATACCACGAAGAGTTTGACGAAAGCCACAGGAGTGGTGCATCTCCCAGCACTTGGGAGTATTATTCAGAAATGGATGCACTTTTGGGTAAGTCTGCTAACATGAAAGCTCCCTTCACTGTGTCCCTGGGGACATCTACAACCTACAAGGTTCAAGGAGAAGAAGGCAAGTCAACTTCTTCATCTGGAACTAGGACTAGGACCAGCAGTTCAGCTGAATCAAAGAACAATAAGCAAAAGGCTCCTAAAGCACCTGCGTCAGGTCGTGCCACATTCCGATCAAGGGCTGTAGATGCTCAAGAAACAAGAGTCTATCAACAAAACCGACTCATTGACCAGATTGAGGAAATGCACAAAACTTACGCCACACAATGTGAAACCCAAAATCATCTCTTGAAGATGCTCATAGAAAAAGCAAGCAATAAGCCTTAAGTCATTTACTTACAAGTGTGTTAGGACGTTGTTTTTCTTTTTTAACTTTTGAAACCATGGTTTTAGCTGATTCTGTTTTGTTATTATGTTTTGCTAGTTAACAAAAGCAAGTTTTGTTCCCTTAATAACCTTATGACTCCTAAAGGAGAAATATTTGATACTTCATGTTTACTAGTCAACACAAGTATTATTTTATGTTTATAAATCTCAATTTGTAGGAAAAAGAAGAATTGTTTTAGTTTTGTTGAAACTCCCACATGCATGCTTCATGTTGCTATAAGCCTGCTTGTTTAACTTTTAATTTTTGAATGCTAGCCTCTCTGTGTGATTACGCTGTCAACTACCTATAATTTCTTTTGTTCCTGTAATAGTTTTGACTTAGAAAGGAGAAACGTATTAGTTGCTATGTTTGCTTGTCAGCACAATTTTATGTTCATTATAATGTTATTTGTTTAAAGAGCAATTTTTATTTTGATATGTGGTCATTCATAAGAATTGGTGTTTTTTCTGTTAGATTTTCAAGGATTTCATTTGCTATGCTTTCCTAAATTATATAGAATTGAATGACAATAATTAGTGTGTCTCAGTTATGTCCCATACCTTACATTTAACTTTTTGAGGGTATATAAACACTGCATTTAAAAAGTTTCTACTTTTATTTACCAGTAAGTACTGACTTAGTTCTTTCAAGGGAAAGGTGTTAAAGAGAAAGGGGTGTCCCTTTCCAACAACAATCATTCCTTAATAATCTAAGTACCTAATGAACAATAAGAAAGTTCCTTCGCCAAAATTCAAGAACTAACATTCAAAGGAAACTATGCCTCATAGCAGAAACTGGCATCCCGTTCTAAGAAAAATCATGCTGCACCACACTTTGATAATTTAAAAGAAAACAGTCAAAATCAACAAATCACAGGTGTAATAATCTTTACCTTACAATAGAAGCAACAGACAAACTAGCCTACTTAAAATTATTTTACACAACCAACAGTGTCACCAAAGGAACATTATTATCACATATCTCATGTATATCTTAAGAACTCCAAAAAAATCAATCACAATATTAAAAAAATCCCTAAATTTCAGTCTTAATTATTGCTGCTACTGGACAAGTACATGATCCATGTACATAAGTTTTTTCTCCAAACCTCTGGCATGAGCATCTTCCATTCTATGCATTAGTTCTGGATCTTCTTCCGCCATCTCTCCATCCTGCTCTTCAACAAACACTTCATTACCCAAAATCTCATTCTGGCGAATACGTCTTCCCAATTCTTCTTCCTGAAGGTAAAGGACATGCATGAATGAAAAATTATCAAGAAGTAGCATAAAAAAGCATTGTATACAGAATAATGTACCACTTACATCAATTATAGGTTCTCCGTGCAGAATAGTAAAATTATGCAAGACAAAAGACGCAGTAATGTGGTCGACAACCACCTCTTGCTTCCTTGCATGCATGAACTTTAATCTCCGCCACTTTCCTTTGGCACGAGCAAAGGCATTTTCAACCCTCACCCTGCTCTGTGACAGCTTTCTATTGTAGTTTAATTGGACTGGAGTTAGGTGCCCATTATTCCGAAATGGAACCATCAACTTATCACAGAAATAAAAAACAGGAACAGTTAATTTTTATGTTAATTCATTGCAATAGTTAGAAGTAAAATATAAAATTAGTCAAAGGCAACCAACTTACAAACTCAGTCTGTGTGTAAGCGCCATCTCCAACGATATGCTCATCGTCAGATATGAACTGACCTGGAGGCCCAGTAAGCATATCTGAATACAGAGGGCTTCTTCGAAAGACCCTATTATCGTGCATACTTCCAACTTCTCCTACGTGTAGGTGACGCACGAGCAGAGTACTATCCACAACTGCTTGCACATTGATGCTATAGCTATCATGCCGATTTCTGTATGAGGCAGCATCAACTAATGGAGCAGTAACAGTAATATGCGTCCCATCGATTGAGCCAATTATCCCAGGGAAACCAGTAGCCCTTTCAAAGGTATCTTTAATCACCCTCCTCTCTTCAGCATCTGGCCAACTAATATAATTGGGAGCGAGTTCCCTCAAAGCCATAATGACATAGAAATAGAAATAGTAAAGAGTACCAGGGTTGACTCCAAATTTTAGAGCAACACTTCTAAAGGAATCTGGTGTCGCCAACAACCAAATCACCATAAGCATGATGTCTTGAAATGGAGTTCTTTCTCGTTGCATCCTATCCTTTGCCTTGAGATGGTCTTTGACGGTGGTAACAAGGATCTGTGCAGAAGAAAAACAGTTACCATTTGGCTGATTTACCAAAAACTTACGTTAAGAATCACAGATAAGTAGATAAATTGCATTGATACCTCAAAGACGCTTCTTGTCATCCTAAAATGTATCTTAAAGCATGGGTCACCCTTTCTGTGATAGTCATCTATCATAACAGTGACTTTCACCCACCAGTCACCCATTTCTTCTAAATCTGTGGGACGGAAATAGATATAAATAGGGCATCACATGGAAAGATTCCAAATCTGAATAGAAACATAATTTACTTACTTAACCCTCCGAAATCTTCCTCCAGTTCCATTATTTCATTAGCAGCGACCTCAGCAGCTAGCATCATCATTCTCATGAATTCATCATTTTGTCGGTTGATAATTTGAACGGCTAGAAGAGTCAAGTTCTCAAAATCCGCCATTCTCACAATAGAGAATCCCTTTTCCTCCAAAACTTGTCAAGAAAACCTAACCTTCCTACTGCCACAACAATCAAAGCGTCTATGTGGTGTGATGTGTCCGAGATCCGATCCCGATCCGAAGCGACTTTGGCCTTCGGCTCGGCTCGGCTCAGCTTCGGTGTGGGAGGTGGGAGCCGGAGCCGAAACGCCGAAGGAGGCCCTCCCCCCTCTCCTCTCCACCACTCCCCGCTCGCATCCGAGGAGCGCGCTCTCGCGAGCGCAGAGCGCACGTCGAGCGGACGCTTAATTAAATATAGCCCGGTAGAGCGGGCTAAGGACAAGCATTGGGGAGGTGGGCGCGAGGCTGGGGGAGGCCGGCCAGGGCCAGGACGACGACGTACGAGGCGGGCGGGCGCGGGTCTGGGCGGTGGCTGGGGCGAACAGCGGACGAGGTCCTGCAGGGGGAAGAGGGGTGGTGTCCTGGTGCACTGTCCGCAAGACGTCTAGCTGATGACGAGGGTGGCCCATCCTGTGCGGCAACTGCTTTGTGCGCGTCTAGGCCAACCAAGTTCACAGATCCCTTACAGCATTATTAAATATTCGATAACACTTACCTTCACACAATGAATCAGCATCCAAGTCAAGTGAGTTAAAAATATCCACAATATTAGGGTGGTTCCAGATGGCATCTGCATCTGGAGGAAGTTAACTGCCAGCTGACAAAGTCTCGTCTCGAGTGACTATTTTGAGAAAAAAAACACACGAAGAAGACATAACACTAAGGCCCCTTGAAAGGGAAACTTACATGTTTCAGTAATAAGATCCATGGCATCAGGTGGTATCAGGCCGGTAGCAGATTTTGTAACGGTTGAAGTTGCCTGACTGACAGCAACATTCGTGTCCTCGACTGACAGTATTCCCTTAACCCTATAAGGCATGGTGTCGTTTTAAGGTAAGGGTCCGGTGAAAAAATTGCAATTTTTGTACAAATATTCTTAAATGAGTTTTTGCCGAAAAAAACAATGTTTCGACCTCTCTCCTTTTGGGAAACCATGTAAAGTTCACGAAACGTCTTTTCTTTTGTATTTTGGATCGGTCTACCTAATGGCTCTTGTAGCTTTTTCGACAAAA